CTCCACTGCGTGGTATTCACGACAAGCGATGCAGTGCAATGAGGCAAACGACTGATGCAGTGAAGCACACCTCGTGAGACTCAGAAGAGTCCAAATTGTATCACGCGATGATGTGAAGAAAAGATGAAAGAGTGGTTGTGATATTGTGGCAGCCTCGATAGATGCCTCACCTAAACTCGGATATGGGATGTTGAGGTGGTGATGAGAGTGAGGGGAGTGCGTGTGTTCTTGAATCACAATGTCAGACGCCTGCACGTATGTTGATCGGCTAAACACAGGATCCATGATTGCCCTAAAGTGCTACTGTCTCCACGACTGCCGACATTATAAGTAGCACTCGGGCACTGTTTCACTCTCCCATTTCCACACCTTTCAATTTGTCATACTTGGAAGGGGAGATTGGGGAGAGAGAGCGAGAGAGTGAGAGAAGGAGCATAGAAAAGGAGGGAAGGGAAGCGGAAATGTGAAGTTCATTACTTGTGTAAAATTTGCATTAGGTGGATAGGATAGGAGGAAGGTGAAGGGCGTATTGTGTGAATGGACAATCTCCCCACCTACACGTCGCATTGAAGTGTGGCGCCACTGTCATTTGAGAGTGCCACAACCACATGAACTGGCAGCTCCTCATTTCCACGATGATGCCTCGCAAGCACTCTCAAAAGGGTCCTTCAAAGCACCACCAAGTAGCTGCCAGCAGACAGTGCTGTCAATTGTCAAGTCAAAAGTTGGGACAAGAGAGTGAGACAGGAGGTCGTGTGTAGGAGGAAATTGGAGGAATGTATGCATCATCGCCAATCACTTGACAGTGTAAAAGCAGTCAGTGTTTCATTGGCACCGGTGGATCAGAACGAAGAATCCGCAGGACATGTCCATTTCCAACTGATCCTTTTCTACTCTGGCCAATGGATTTCATGGCGCAGACAATGCAATGGAATGGGATGGAGTGAAACGACCAGCAGAAGGATCAACATCCACTTCAACTGCTTTGCTAGTGGATTGACTAATTGCCCGAGTGACTGACTCGTCGGCTGTTTGACCGGTTAGTGGACTGGTGCACTTTCCAATTACTTATTTGGTCAGTAAATGAATTCACTCACTCACTCATTCTTGAAATGCACTGCCTTGCATAAACGACATGGCGATGCGGTTGTTTACATTGTCAACGTGACTGCAAGTTATGTACACACGTCTTCTCACACCGACTACACCGACCATACCAAGGTCATGCCACCACCACCGCCATCACGTCCGGCAATCGTTCAAACACGTGGTCAAACCGACTACCCATCCGTTTCTGCCACCCACTTGCACGTCCTCCATGCAAGTGTTATTGCAAATGGCAGGACACCGGCACTACCATCGCCGCCACCACCACTGGCGCCAGCACAGACTACAACGTCAACAATGACTGCGGTAGATGCGCCATGACTGTATGAAGGGCACGCCTATTTCGAGTGAGTGAATGAAGGGAGAAATAAAATTGATGCATCGACCTGGGTGGATTTTACTAGTCTCTGTGCATTTGAGCAGCTGACCATCTCAGGGATGTTGGAATGTCATATTGGTGTCACGCATGACGTCTTGGTTGCATCATCAATGCTAGTAATCACCCAATCACTCAGTCAATGGGAAATGAGACGCCTTTCTTGCAGACTGGTGTGCCATTTCATCACTGCATCCGCAGGAAGGACTTGTGCGGGCACTGCGTTGGCTGCAGCGGTGGGCGGAAACGATTGCATTGCACGAGAACACCACCTCTCATTGCATCCCATTGTGCGCATTCCATGCTACACCTG